TGTGTGTGTGTGTGTGTCTGTGTCCGTGTGTGTGTCTGTGTGTGTCTATGTGTGTGTCTCTGTGTGTGCCTGTGTCTGTGTGTGTGTGTGTGTGTGCGTGTGTGTGCGTGTGTGTGTCTGTGTGTGTGTCTGTGTCTGTGTGTGTGTCTGTGTCTGTGTGTGTGTGTGTGTGTGTGCATGTGTGTGTCTGTGTGTGTGTGTCCGTGTGTCTCTGTGTGTGTCTGTGTGTGTGTGTGTGTGTCTGTGTCTGTGTGTGTCTGTGTCTGTGTGTGTCTGTGTGTGTGTTTGTGTCTCTGTGTGTGTCTGTGTGTGTGTGTCTGTGTGTGTGTCTGTGTGTCTGTGTGTCTGTGCGTGTCTGTGTGTGTGTTTGTGTCTGTCTGTGTGTGTGTTTGTGTCTGTCTGTGTGTGTGTCTGTGTGTGTCTGTGTGTCTGTGTGTGTGTCTGTGTCTGTGTGTGTGAGGGGGGGCTGGGCGTGGTGGCAGGTCTCTGTCCTGTCCCTGCAGAGCCCCCAGACCTGGGCACAGAGGTGGGTGGTCGGGGCGGGACCTGCCTCCAGGGCTGGCACAGGCGAACGCTGGAAGGATCCGTGTAGCTTTGTCACTAGGTCATTTGTTATCCAGCAAATGAAAATCACCATAAATGAAAAACAAAACAGGTAATTTTTGTTGTGGTTGTAAGTTATTTGGAAACAATTTCAAACTTACACATCAGTTAGAACAAGATGAGCAGAGCAGCACCCTCTGCCTGTATCCATGCTGGGCTGTGAGTGCTCCCCTCACCGCGTATCACTGCTGTTCTCTGTGACCACTTACCCCTAAATACCCATCCATATCTGTCTGTCATCTGTCTACCCGTCTGTCTGTCTGTCCATCTATGTGTCATCTATCTGTCTGTCTGGTGGGAACAGCATTCAGGGCCAAGGTCTGGACTCCAGGTATGCGGCTTGGGGCCTGGAAGCTGGCACTGACTGGGCTCAACTGGACAAACATTTCTTTTACACACAGTTCCTCCCTGGACCAGCCACGGAGCTCCTCTGAGCTGGTTGTCCGTCTGTCCATGCGATCCCCATCCTCCACCTCAGGGGGCTGAGAGTCAGGGTGATTGACAGCCTGCCCTGACCTCAGGAGATACAGGACCCTCGCCGTGGAGTCCCTGGTCCAGCAGACAGGGCAGCGCTGGGAAATGTGTGAAATAACGGGATACAGGGCGGGTGGAGGAGCGGGGGGAGTGAGTGCCGGGAGGGACAGCTGACCGAGACCCAGGCTGGCCTGCGGGCGTCCTGGGAGGGAGCCCTGGGCGGGAGGGACGGGGCAGGGCAGTGCTGAGCGCTGGGAGTGTGGAGGGGCCTGAGAAGGAATGGGAGGTCACTGGGCCTCGCCAAGGGCGCACCCAGCACTGTGACCACTCTGAAGGCAGCGCCCCGGGTCAGTGACAGCGCACGCTCTGTAGAGCCTGCCTTCCCCACCTTCCTGAGAAGCCCGCAGCTGCTGGGATGGCGGACTCACCTTTGTCACTGAAGGTGACTGTCTCTTTGGGGTACATGTCCATTCTTCAGGAGTCCCCCCTTCCCCTGGCAGGGGCGCCTGTGTCCTCAGGGCCGGGGTGCTGGTGTGGCCGTGTCCCCCCTCAGATGCTTCAAGGTCCTGGCTGGGCTCTAGTCTCCAGGGCCCCACCCGCTCCCCTCACTCTGACCACACCTGCACTCAGCCCTGTGCCACGTGCGCTGAGGCAGCGGGAGGGCTGCGGGCCAGCTCCCGCTCCTGGCACACCACACCTGGGCTGAGCGCACGGAGAAGCGCATCTCTGCTGGTGGAAGTGGCCGCTGTCCTGTGCTGCCCTGGGCCGGGGGCTCGGGCCCTGGATCCAGCCAGGGAGCTGGAGGCCAGGGGCCGGACAGCGAGGGCGCTGCAGGGTCACTTTGTAACTGACGCTCTGAGACCCTCTGGCCCCTCTGCCCCACTGGATGAATAGCTCTGGGGACCACATCTGCTTGGATGGAGGGGACGTGTCCACACCCCGCGAGGCCATTTAAAACTTGTGCCTGTGAAGAACTCGCCGCCGGCCTGGCTCTCCTGCCGGTGGTTTTTAAAAGGCTGGATGCTCTGCTTCCTTCTGCCCACAAGAAGCCTGGGGTGTTGGAGAGGACGGCAGCTTGGGGTTCTTTGTCCACTCACAGCTGTGACGGGGAGGGGGTGTCAGCAGGTGGCCAAGGGAACACGCTTGGAACTCCCTCTGCCCCTCTCCCCATCCCCCCCGTACCTCCCGGGTTCTGGAAGCAATCTGAGAGCCTGTCTTCTGTGTTCCCAGTTCCCACAGGCGCTCAGCTCCCTGGCACCTTGGCAGCCCCCACTCTTGGGTGCTCTGTGCACAGGGCTGCTTGTCGCCTCGACCGCATGGCCCAGGAGCTCCTAGCAATGTGCCCTGCTGCTCAAGGTGATCCTGGAGACACGCTGGGTGCCCGGGGGAAGCCTTCACAAACTTTCCTAAGTCAACAGAGAGAAGTGCAGCCCAGGGTGCCCTACTCTGTGCTGCCTGCAGGATGGACGCCCATACCACCTGCGCAGCCTCAGCAGGTCAGCGACGTCAGGGCACGTCCGCCAAGTGGCTTCCAGTCCCTCCTATTTTCAAGCCCCCAGTCCTGAGCCCTTCTCTGGGATGGTCTCTCTTCTGGATCTTAAACTGCCGGCACCAAGGGACAGCAGAGCCCTTGCTCCCTTTAAACAAAAAGGCTCTTCCCCAGCCCAGTCCTGTGTGGGGCCCTGAACCAGGTGAGGGGCCGACACAGCGGTAGCTTAGGGTCTCTGCCTGCTCCACCTCCAGGGTTAGGAGAGGGTCAGGAAGCCCCACTTACTGGCACAGCAGGCCCCTTCCTCCACCCAGTGCTGCTGGGCACCCTACTTGCAGGGGTGCCCCTCCAGGTGCTGCAGCTCCCACAGGTTCTCTCCTGTTGGGATCACCTTCCCTGTCCAGATGGGCCTCTTGGGAGAAAGACCTTCAAGCCGAGCCAACATCTGTGTCATGAGAATGACACCCACCCTGTGCTTGGCCAAGCAGGCAGCCTGCTGGGAGCTCAGCTCCTCTCCAGGCCCAGCTGCAGGGTCACTGCAGCCCCCCAGCAGGAGCACTCAGGCCAAACCCCCAAACCCACCTGGCAGGCAGCCCTGGATTTAATCAGAGCTGTGCTAGCCTGTGGGCCAAATGCCGACACAGCCACCCAGTGCCTTGGATGTCCTGTTGGGTAGCCTCGCCCCGGCCAGAGGCCTTCAGAAACTGCAGAGACCTGTCCCTCAGGGTCCTCAGAGGGAGGCGGTGGTGGGTCAGATGCGTGGGAAACCGTGGCTTCATACATTGACTTTATTACAGCAGTTCCGTGTCCACAGCGAAACTGAATGGAAAGTAGGGTTCCTGTCCCCCCTCCCCGAGTTGCCCCTTATTCACACTCCGCATGAAGACATGTGGTTAAAGCTGACGAGCCTGTGTTGTCACTAACTCAGGCCCATGGTGTACTGTCGGCAGTTTTGTCTTTTCTACTGCCATAGAGTTGGAATCGCACAGTGAAGTACGTAGCCTGCAGTCACTTCTGCTTCTGCCACTCAGTCATATACAGGTAAGGTTCCTCCATGTCTTTTCGTGGCTCAATTATTCATTTGTTTTTAGAGCCGAATACTATTCCATTGTCTGAAAGGACCACCGTTTCTCCATCACCTGCTGAGGGACATCCTGGTTGCTTCTGAGTCTTAGCAGTCTATATACAGTATATAAACAGGTAATATGCAAATTAGCCAGGCGTCAGGACCGCTCAGGAGGAGCTGCGCCAGCAGATAGGTGGGAGGGGACTGGTGCTGCCCCCAGCCCCAGCGGACGCACACCAGGGGGTGGGAGCATGCTCCTAGCGGCCGCATCATGGCTGGGAGCATGGCTCAGAGCACGCCCCTGGTGGGTGGCAGCAGCGGCTGGAGCGAAGCAGCCCCGGTCCCGGTGGGTGGCAGTGGCAGCCGGAGCGAAGCAGCCTGGGTCCCTGGTGCTGGAGGGAAACCGGTGCCAGCAACCAGGGGAAGGAAGGCCTATTCTTGCATGAATCTTCGTGCATCAGGCCTCTAGTTATGAATAAAGCTGCTCTGAACATTCATGAGCAGTTTTTGTGTGGACATAAGTTTTCAGTTCATTTGGGTAAATACTAAAGAGTACAATTGCTGGATCATAGGATAGGAGTATACTTTGTTTTGTGTGTGTTTTTAAAATGCCATACTGTCTTCCACTGTGGCTGCACCGTGTTGCATTCCCACCAGCAGTGACTGACAGTTCCTGTTGCTCCACGTCCTTGCCAGCACTTGCTGTTGTCAGTGTTTGGATTTTAGCCAGTGTAATAGGTGTGTGGTGGTATCTCCTGGTTTTAATTTGCATTTCCCTGATGACAGATGGTGGGGAGCATCTTGTCATTCTTGTTGGCTATCTGTATTTGTTCTTTACTGAGGAGTCTCTTCCAATCATTTACCAATTTTTAAAAATTATATTGTTCATTTTCTTATTATTGAGTTTTAAGAGTTCCTTTTTAAGATTTTGGATTCTAATCCTTTATCAAACCCTGAAAATATTTTAGTCCAGTCGGTGGTTAGTCATCTTATTTTCTAAACAGTGCCTTTCACAGAGCAGAAGTTTTTAATTTTAACTTCCACTTACCTTCTCTCTCTCTCTCTCTCTCTCTCTCTCTCTCTCTCTCTCTCTCTTTGATTATGTTTTTGGTGTTATATCTAAAAAGTCATCACTAAACCCAAGATCACCTAGATTTTCTATCATGTTATCTTCTAGGAGTTTTATATGTCTGTGTATTACATTGAGTTCTATGATCCACTTTGAGTTAATTTGTGGAAAAGGTGGAAGGTCTGTGTCTGGACTCACTTTTCCTCTTGTTATTTCAGCAACGTTTGCTGAACAGACTCTTCTTTCTTCATGAGTTGCTTTTGCTCTGTTGTCAAAATCAACTGACTGCATTTGTGTGGGTCTATTTCTGGGCCCTCTATCCTGTCCCACTGATCTGTGTGTCTGTTCTCTCACCAATACCACCTTGTCTTGATTATGCTCACTTGATACAGAGTCTACAGTGTTCGCCGGCTGACTGGCTCTCCCCCAGGACTGTGTTACCTTTCCTGGATCTTTTGCTCCCATACAAATGTTAGAAACAGTTTGTGCATATCCATTTAATAACTTGATGGTATTTTGATTGGATTGCCTTGATTCTATACATTAATTGAGGAGGAACTGACAGCTTGACAATATTGAGTCTTTCTATTTATGAACATCTCTCCATTATTTAGTTCGTTAGAGTTTTGCAGTTTTTCCCATATAGATCTTGTAAATATTTTGTTTGCTTTCTATCTAAAATTTTCTCCTTTTTTGGTAATGTAAGTACTGTTTTGTGTTTTTAATTTGAAATTCCCATGATGTATTACTAGTATATAAAAAAGCAATTGATTTTTGTACATTAATCTTGTATCCTGTGACTTCACTGTAATCACTTGTTAATTTCAGGAGGTTTTTTAAATTATTGATTCTTTGTGAATTTCTGCAGAGAAAATAATGTCATTTGTAAACAAAATTTTATTTCTTCATTTCCAATCTGTATATCTTTTATTTCCTTTTCTTGTCTTATTGCATTGGTGAGGACTTCCAGCATAATGTTGAATTGAAATCACCAGATGGGGCATCTTGCCTTGTTCTTGATCTCAGCAAGAAAGCATCTCGTTTCTCACCATTAAGTGTATTTGATAACTATGTAATTGTACCACAGTTCTAGAATATTCCATTACATATTTATTATTATTATTTTCTTGTTGCATCTCACATTTGGAACTCTCCACAGATATTTCTTTAAGCTCACTGATTCTTTCCTCAGCATGTTTAGTGATGAGTCCCCGAAGGCATTCACTTCTGTTAACAGTGTTTAGCTCCCTAGCAGTCTCTGCTTGCATTACTCATGTATTCTTGCATGTTGTCCACTTTTATCCTTAGGGTCCTTAGCATATTAATCATAGTTGTTTTATTTCCAGTCTGATAATTCCCACATCTCTGCTATATCTGAGTCTATTTCTTGTGCTTGCATTGCCTGAGTAAACTGTGATTTTGTCTTTTAGTGTGCCTTGTAATTTTCTGTTGAAAGTTGGATATGATATTTTGGATAAAAAGGACTGAGATAAATAGGCCTTTATTATTAGTTTTTGTGTTTGTCTCACAATATTCACTGTGAGAACCTGGTCCACTCCTAGAGGTAAAACAAAAGTAGGAAGCCCCCAGCACAGGGCCCCTGGTGGAGTTTTTAACTCTCAAATTTGTCCATCATGAGCCTCCATCAATTAATCAATTAAAGCTTAGGTTTTCCTACCCCGAGGTAGCAGCTCTTCAGCACTAAGAACCACCCGCCTGATGGTGGGGGTGAGGAGGTGAGTGTTGGGGGAGAGAAGCATCTAAGGCACCTGTTACCTATAAGGAATCATGAGTCTGAGAGGCTTGCCCTGCTCCTGGACTCCACATTCTGGGTAGAAATAGCATTAGATTCTTGCTGGCTGTTGTAGAGAAATACCTGTAACTCAGGCGTCTAAAACACGGAGCACAATTTGTGAAAGATAAGCCGGGAAGAGTTGGAGCACTGGGAGATTCCGGCTCAGAGTGGAGGAAACTGCCTCCTTTCAGAGACACCCCAGAGGCAGGAGCAGGAGAGGGTGAGACGGGTGGGACGTGCTGGAGCCCCAGGCTCAGTGCTGGAGATTGAGCAGCTTCTGTGTCCGAGGAGCAGGCAGCTGCTCTGGAGTGGTAGCTGAGCCATTTAGGGATAATTTATATCCGAGACAAGAGCGCAGCACAAGAGTGCAGAGCATGGGTTGCAAAGCCAAATAGAGTGAGGAATGTGGAAAGGTTTGCTCTTGGCTGGAAATAATGCAAGGTCTGCATGGGTCCTGTGGACTCCAGGCCACGTGGAGTGAGTGGAGAAGATGTGAAAGGCATGCGGTCAAGGTCACTATGCTCTCCAAGTAGGAAAGGGGAGGGAAATCAGGAGACAGAAGTTCTGAGGATAAGTTTGTCAGCATAGGAATTTTGTTGCGACTTTACTGTCAACTGAGCTAGATTTTGTGCTAGCCAGTTTTGTTCACTGAAAAGCCAAAACTTCTGATCTGATCATTTTTCTTCTATTTCTCTATATTTTTCCTAAGTTTCTAAATAACCACTTTATAAAAAATAAGAGCTATTTTTGAAGTTTTTAATGGAATAATATATACTTATAGAAATGCATAAGTATATATTACCGTGGTTTAACTTTTCCCTGTAGTTTCCACATGTATTTAGTTTAACGAATATTTATACATTTGTTAGCACATCTACCAAGCCAGGTACTAGGAAATGTGAGTAACTGGAGGCCTCTCCCTTCCTTTGGGTTAGCAGAGTATGTTAGGAAGAGACACACGTGCACACACACGTGCACACACACACATGCACACACACACACACACACATGCACTTTCCATTGAGAAGATGGACAGGGTGTGCCTCACTTTTATGCTGAGATTCTCATAGACCTTGGGACACCTCACTTCCAGTGGACATGTGTTCTTCAGCCTCACTCTGGAAACAGCAGGGACTTCAACACTTTTCCTGCAGGAGGGACAAAGAAGAGTTCAAAAAGCATCAGAGGCAAAACTCATCTTCCACATATTTAATTACTTCATTAGCCTTTGAATTTAAAATACTGGATAGAGACACTGACACTCTCCCAGGACCAATCTGGAATTAGAACTAAAATATAGGAAAACCATCCTGAATAATCAACTGAAGACTGGCTTGAGAGCACCATAAGAACCAAACACAGAGACTGGTAGGAGGGGCGGAGGCGTGAAAGGGCTGGCTGGGCTCCAAAACTGGGCCCTCCAGCACAGAGCACCGGAACTGAAAAAGGTGCCCACATAACATCTGGCTGTGAAAAGCAGCAGAGTTGCTGTCTACCAGAGAGAGACAGTTGGAAATGCAGGCACCCTATTAAAGGGCCAATGCCCAAAATTTCATGTGCAGCCACTCACCTTGGGCTCCAGCAGAGGGAGGGCACAGTGGACTAGAGCTGTGTGAGCAGATCCAGGGTTGGAGGCTCTAGGGTTTGAGCTTGGAAGGCAGCAACCCCAGTTTCCTGTGCTCAACAGCATGAGAAAAGATATAGTAACTATGGAAGAAGACCAATTGGAAATGAAGAATGACACAGCACTAACAAAGAATGCATTGGAAGGAATGCACAGGAGATTAGGGAAAACTGAGGACTGGATAAGTGAATTAGAAGACAGGGCAGGAAAAATCGCTCAGTTAGAGAACCAAAAAGAAAATAAAAAACAGGAGGACAGCTTAAGGGAGCTGTGGGACAATGTGAAACATAACAATATTCAAATAGCAGGTGTGCCAGAAGAGGAAGAAAGTGAGCAAGGGGTAGAGAATGTATCTGAAGAAATAATGGCAGGAAACTTCCCTATCCTGGTGAAGGAAAAGGTCACACAAGTGTAGGAGGCACAGAGAACCCCAAGAAGAAAAATCAAAAAAAGGCCTACACCCAGACACATCATCATTAAAATGCCAAAAATTAAAGACAGAGAGTATCTTAAAGACAGCAAGAGAAAAGCAATTGGTTATCTACAAAGGAGCTCCCATAAGGCTGTCAGCTGATTTTTCACCAGAAACTCTACAGGTCGGCAGGGAATAGCATGAAGGCCATCAACAAGAGACAACAAAGGTCACTACATAGTACTAAAGGGATTGATCAAATAAGAGGATATAATCCTGTTAACATATATGTATCCAATATAGGAGCACCTAAACATATAAAAAAACTTTTGGAGGACTTTAAGAGAGAGATCAACAACAATACAGTCATAGTAGGGGACTTTAACACCCCACTGACTCCACTGGACAGATCTTCCAAACAAAAACCTAATAAGGAAACAGTGACTCTAAAGGACACACTGGATCAGATGGATGTAATTGCCATTTATAGCACATTTCACCCCAAAGCTGCAG